TTTTGAGAACGACCCGCCCTCAGTCCGTGAAGCGCTTGCACATTTTTCAGCGAATGTGCACGGCGCTACGGCGAGAGCTTCATTTTGAAAGCCACCCGCCCTCCATCTGTGAAGCTGTTGTAACTTTTTAAGCTTCAGAGTCATAGATGGTGAGGAATTATCAGGCGACATTCCCAGCCCGCCCTAAAAACTAGCCTCGGGGTGTGTCAGGGAGAAGTTGTTTATAAGGAGAAGGAAATGGAAGGATGATGATGATGATGATGATGATGATGATGATGATGATGATGATGATGATGATGATGATGATGATGATGATGATGATGATGATGTTCCCCCCCCACCTTTTGATGATGCTGATGTGATGAGATGCAGGCTCCCTAGCGATCAAGTTTTGCAGTTTGGATGGCGGAAGATGATGATGATGATGATGATGATATGATGATGATGAGCTGATGATGATTATGATGATGATGACGATGTATGATGATGAGATTTTGATGATGATGATGATGGATGATGATGATGATTGATGATGATGATGATGATGATGATGATGATGATGATGATGATGATGATGATGATGATGATGATGATGATGAGGAGGAGGAGGAGGAGGAGGAGGAGGAGGAGGAGGAGGATGAGGAGGAGGAGGAGGACACAGATCCTGGGCCCAGCCGAGTCCTGGCCAGGATCGGTGTCGGTGTACAGACGGCGTGCTCCTGCGTGTGGGTCGCCTCCGGTGGCTCGACACTCCGCTTCGGCCGTGCACTCCCCTGGAAGAGAGAGAATGAGAAAGAGAGAGAGAGTCCTCTATTCTTCCGGGGAGTGCCCCGTCCCAGAGCTCCAGCCCAGTCGCGCGCTGGAGGAGGGCCAAGAGCCGAGGGGCGGGAGGAAGTAGATCAACCGAAAACCAAACGACACCACCCCACCTGCGGCCCTCCATGCTGCGCTAGGGGCCATCCGGCGCCATACCGTACGCCACGCAAAAACCCGCGCCAGATCTCCTGGCATACGCGAAGGCCCCTGGTGCCGTAGGTGGGGTGGTGTCGCTTGTTTCCTGGTCCAGTGGAGGTCCCCGGGCCCCCCCCCCTGGCGCTCGCTCGCTCTCTCTCTCTCTCTCTCTCTCTCCTTCGCTGCGCCGGCCCACCCGGGGCGCTCCAGGACGGGGCCCCGCCCTCGGCGTGGCCCCGCCTCGGGCAGAAGGCCGACGTCAAGCACGCCCGCGGCGGCCCCGCCGGCGGCAGGACGGCTGGACTGGGCGGCTGACGCAGAGGGCGCTCCTCGTGGAGGCTGGGCGGGCGGCGGAGGCGCGGCGCGAGGCGCCCGCACTCTCGGGGCCCTGGCGTGGCCGCGAGCCGGGCGCCGCCCTTGCCACCGTGGTGCGCCACGGCCGCCCACCGCGGTCTGGCCCTGCGCGCCCGGCTGCTGCTGCTCCCCCCGGCTGCTCCTCGTCGAGCTCTTCGGCGTCTGAGCGTCCCCTCTTCCTCTCGGTCGTCCCCCCCCCCCCCCTCCCCCCTTTCTTTGCCCGCCGGCCGATTCGCCAGCTGGTGCCCCTTTCTAGCACCTCGCCGGTGCGGAGTTCGCCGCCTCGCCGCCGACGAAGAAGTCCGCGAGCTGGGCTCCCTGGCATCCGGCGGCGTTCTGTGTCAGGGCGCAGCCCCAGGAGGTTCCGCATCCTTCCCCAGCCAGTCCACGATCCACGCTCCGCAGGAGTTTTTGTCACGCTGATCCACTATCCACGTCTGATGGTCTTGGGGCCCGACGCCGAGCCCGAGAGGCTGGACACGGCTCCCCAGGGGCCAGGGGCCCAGGGCCCAACAGTGGGTCTTACAGGCGGCCCGGATTAGTACGGCGACCCTGCCAGCTCAAGGGTACCCTTGTGTCCTGTGCCTCGCGACGCGTGCCTTCTTACACTCCTATGGCGTCCTTTCGCTTGTTCTCTCGCGTGTCCTCTCGCGTGTCCTTCGGAAAGGGCCTTGTGTCCTCTCGCGTGTCTTCTTCCAATCAAGGCCGACTGTAGAGGCCGATTCGAGGCAAGAGGCCAGGATGGAGGAACTCGTGCCGTCGGGAAATGCAGGCGCGCAGCCGGCGAGATCGAGGACGGAGGTCCGACGCGCCACTGCGCGCGCGGCGCTGGGCCCTCGCGTGCCTCAGCTCTTGCCGCGCCGCGCCGCGGGCGCGCAGGCGGCGAGCTGGTGCAGAAGTACATCGGCGAGGGCAGCCGGACCAGCCTCCCGCCGCGCCCGCGCGGCGCCCTCCTGCGCGATGATCCTCAGGACGACTGTTAGGACAACGCTCAGGAGGGGAAAGAACACTTTTTTTGATCGGCGGGTCGAGAGCGGGCCTCCTCCGGTTAAGAGCTAGGCGGGAGGAGGGGAACAAACACGCAGACACAATGAGTCGTCGACCCCCAGGAGAGCATGGGAAAATGTGGGAAGTGGGGGGGGTCAGACGAAGACCCAACACAGATGGGTGAATATGGGGAATCCTTTTTATTTGTGTCTATGTCTTTGTGTGTCCCAGGGCCCCTTCAAACGTGTGTTTGCCCCGCTCAGCTCCGCTGGCAGCACGCCGCCTGCTTCGGCCCTCGCTGCACACCGTCTGCGTCGTGCTGGATGGCCTCGGTGGAGAAGCACACGAGGGTGAGGAGGAGCAGGAGGAGGAGGAGGAAGAGCAGGAGGAGGAGGAGCAGAAGCAGGAGGAGGAGGAGGAGGAAGAGGAGGAGGGGAGGAGGAGGAGGAGGAGGGGAGGAGGAAGAGGATGGAGGAGGAGGAGGAGGAGGAGGAGGAGAGGAGGAGGAGGAGGAGGAGGAGGGGAGGAGGAAGGAGTGATTTCCTACATTTGTTGCCGCGCGCTCGGAGGATCTGCCCCCAGAGGGGATGGCAGCGAGGGCGAGGTAACAAGAGGGTCAGAGGAGTAGAGGGTACCGATGCCGCTACGCTGGAGTCGGGCCTGTCCCTCTACAGGAGGGATATTCAAAACTAGTCCAAACATAGTCAGGGGACGATTCTTTTAGCATTTTTTTGAATATTTTTGGAATATTTTTAGGCATTCAGAATTTTTGGCCCAAAATCTCCTTGTAGGGGGACAGGCTCGAACTAACGCTACGCTCAGGGGCAGCGCCAGGGAAAGATAGGCTCAGGGGGGGACGCATCGACCCCCAATCGCCCATGGATCGCCGATAAGGGGGCCTGATAGCCCCACCCTGCCCAGCACCGTGTGGTCTAGCCGTCGAGGGCCTGTCGCCGATCTATCGGCGATGCAACGCCGATTCCAGCTCGATGCTTCCCCCCCGAACCGGTGTCCCCACCCCTTAACGTTGCCCCTCGTACGCGTCCCTCGTCGCCACTGTTGGATTCGCTTCGAAGTTCTAGACGCTTCGCGTAACCCCGCCAGACATGTGCACCTCACGCATCGCGTGTAATTTGCCTTGATCCGTAGTCCCAGACATCGCTGTTGCCGCCAGACCGTGGTCGCGCGGCCGCCGACCAAAAAAAAAAAACCCACCAGTAATTCTGGTCATTTTGTCCAGTGCACGTGCCCGTGCTTGCAGTGCGCCAGTCAGTTCAGCTTCACCCGGCCTGCAGCTGCCGTCTGAGTGGGCCGGCCGGCGCGCCTGTCCTAGCCAATTAGCCTCGCCCGTGGCCCGGACGTTGCCTTCGCCGCCTGACCCTTGTCTCGTGGCCGCGACCAAAAAAGTAACCCCACCAGTACGCAGCGCTTCAGCCGGCGCCCGCGCAGCGGTTCTTGATTGGCCCCCCTGCAGTTTCTGTGGCTCCTCATGTTGCGCGGGATGACGGCCCCTGGAGGTTAGCATGCTTCGAGTGTTTCTGCCTTCGCAGCCGCGGCCGCCCCCTGGGCCCGTCCCACCCCCAGCCTGGTATTCAGCAGTCCTCGGCGGAGCAGCTCAGCTGGCTCGCACACGCCGTTGGCGCGGCCTGGGCCTGGCGCCCCCCCTGGCGACGGCCCATCGCCTGCCACGTCTGGGCACTCAGGCGGCACGTTGGGCACGCAGCCCACAGCTGTTGTCCTCCCGCTCCGTTTGGGTTCTGCCATGGCTCTTTTTGAAATCACCAGCATTTTGCCGTGTTGCACGTGCTCGAGCTCCCTGGACGCCCTCAGCTTGCCGCTTCCCCGCGCAGTCAGCCGCTGCTGGGTGAGCGGGCCGGCCGGCTCGCGGCGCGTTTAGCTGCTAATTAGGCCGCCCTCGTGACCCGTGGCGCTTCTGACTCCGCTAGTGCCTTCGCTAGCGGACGTGGCCGAAAAAATATAACCCCACCAGCCTAATTAGGCCTGCTTCCGTGCCCCGGACAGCTTCTTTCTCCGCCCGCGCTCTTCGCTGGCGGACGCGACCCAAAAAGTAACCCCACCAGCTCGCCTCTGCCTAATTAGTCTCTGCGTAGCCCGCTTGGGCCTGACTCGCCGCTGGCGCGCTCGCCCGCGGCCGCTGACTAAAGAAGTAACCCCACTAGCCTTTCGTTTTTTTTTCCTTTGCGCTAATTTAGGCCGTTGCTTGTTCGCAGTGCCCTGGACGCCGCCCGACTTGCCTTCGCCGCGGTCGCGATCAAAAATTAACCTCACCAGCCCATACAGAAACGATGCCCAGAGCAGTTGCCTCGATAAGGGAAGTGGACAGCACGTTGAGGAAGGGTTCCCCAGTGGAGGGCTCTTGGAGCGTTTTGGGGGCTTCTTGGCGGTCCCGGAGGCCTCTTGGAGCGTCTTGGCGGCCTCGGCGAGCTTCTTGGGGCCTCTTGGGGGTCTCTTGGGAGCCTCTTGGAGGCCTCTTGGGCGCCTCTTGTGGCCTCCTTGGGCCTCCTGGGCGCCTCTTAGGGCCCTCTTGAAACGCTCTTGGGAGCCTTGGGGGCGCTCTTGGGGCCATCTTGGAGGACATAGATCAAACAAGAGGGGAACTTTAATTAGGGTTGCCCCCCCAAGAGGCCAAAATGGAACCAAAACCTTGTGTAAAACCAACGATTCCGGCTTCCTCGTCGAGGCCGCTT